TATCTTATTTGACCTTTCTAGATGAATTCTCCTATGTATTCGTGGTCGAAAAGGCAATCTGGTAAACCAAGTCGCTTGAGGGAAACTTCCAAAAAGCCTCCAAAGTTGTCTTTTGACAAAAGAACAGCAGCACAAGAGTTTTGGGAGATAATGAACTTAATTATGGACCAACAACGATGGCAACTTGTAAGATGTCAACGTTGGACACGCCAAATTGGACCAAGTAATCGATGGGGATTTGAGTTTCGACGAGCATTGACATCCTCTCTTGATGATCACCAGATGAAATGAATTTGGCGTCAACCACGGTCGCAAAAGAGAGACACTAATGATTCATTCCATGAGTAATCGTGGAAAGCCGACTCCTTCGTCTTGCGAAGATGAATACAGGCTCAGAAAAACAAAAGAGGAGAGCAAAACGAGCCAACAAAAATTTACTAAGGTCGTAAGTTGTCGGAGAAAAGGAGGAACGAGACAGGAAATATTGTACGATTTCACGTAAAAGATGGGGCAAAATCCGACCACCATGTCATTATCGTGTTGTTTTTAGCATAAGTAGCAATTGAAGACCAGAGTCTATCCCATGCCCCAATTAAGTTTATCCTTCCATTCAGTTCCATAGCTGAGTTGCTATCGCTAAAAAATGAATAATTTATAAAATATTATTCTAAAAATTATCGTTTATAATGCATAAACGAAAAATATATTATTTATCTATGAAAATATTTAGATATGTTGTCGATAATGAAAATATTTTTTTTCAAGTTATATAAACGATTATTTTCGAAAAAATATTATCCAAATCATTTATTTTTCCGTAAAACAAACGGACATGGATGCATGATCAATTTTATTGACGAATTCCCAAGTTCAAAATGATGATGATGATGATGATGATGATCTCCTGGAGTAATAAGATAAATATGTTATGACTAAATTTCGTTTTTCAAAACACATGAAGATGATGAACATATGGAATCCAATCCATCGTTTGATTACAGGGAAATTCGTTCCAAAGCAAAATTCATATTTATAGTAGTAAATCGACTTTGGGCCCGTTTGGTAACGTGCCAAATAGTGAAAATTTCTGTTCTTTTGTTCCCAGAAATAGTTTGGGAACAAAAATGCGTTTGGTAAACTTTTTGTTCCGGGCACATTTTTGCAAATATTTGTGTCGAGAAACAGTTTTGGAAGAGAAACAAAAAGTAAAAAAAGTTGCTTCTTGTTTTCGGACAATTTTGAGAATCGGTTTTTTTCTTTTTTTTTTTTTTTCTTTTCTTCTTTTGTGTTGCTCTTCTTGGGTTACCGGCGGCCGGCCACAGCCCAGGGCCGGCCGCCGGTCACCGGTCGCCGGCGACCGGCCATGGCCTGGGTAGAAAGAAAAAAAAATTAAACAATTCAAAATATTATTAATAAAAAGAAATTTGTGTGTAGTTACCAAACGCATTTACGTTCTTTTCTATTCAGAAATAGAAATTTTGGACAGTTCTCAAACGCCTTCAAATGCACAAGAAATTATTTCCAGACACGAGAATAAAAAAAATCATTTACGTTCAAAATAGTTAGGGCACGAATGGTATTATGCGCACCCTTTATAATCGTTTTTTCCTCAATAAGTTTTAAATTCACTTGTCCGGGAGCTTTTTACTCGGGATTTGAACCAGGGTCTCATCCCTATCCTATCCCTTCCCTTTCCTTGTGTTGGCCGGCCGGTTGCCCTGGTGGTTAGCCAAGGGAATCCGTCGCGCCTTATTTGAGAGCGTAATTCGGTGATGACGTGAACCCTTGAGAAAGAACATGTCCGAAACTAAGACGGGAAAAGTCCACACGAATCGTATGTAATGGCTATGTCAGTACATATGAGTTCACGAGCAAGTTCATGTAGGAGTAACTTTGACTTCAGTCTCGGAGATAGGTTTATTAGGACCGGAATTGTACATTGTGATTTGTTGCGCAATCGAAGTAGAGATGGACGATGATGGGTCTTGGAGGAGGTGATCATTGTTAGAGGACGAAGCCAAATATTATTATTAAAGGCTTTTTTTGTCTTTTCTATTAATTTTGCTTTTAGGTTAAAAGCTACACCTATAAATAGAAGTTAGCTGTCAAGCGTTTGAGAAGAAAATAGAGAAAAAAGAAAAGAGAGAAGAAAAAGTGAGTTTTTTTTTTTTACGAGTGTCCTCAATCTCTTTGTGCACCGATCTTGAGAGAAGATCATAATTGTATTCCTACTTTCTTCGAAGTCTAGTGGATTTGCAGAGTGCCTCTGTGCGGAGACGTAACCCAGGTTTGGGTGAATTTCGATAACAAAATCTCTTATGTGTTCTTTCGATTTTGTTCTTTTTATTATTATATTCTGCAAGTGAGGATCGCTCGCTTGGGTTATTTTTCTGGAATCGGCGTACGATTTCCAACAATCATCTCGACGATACTTTGACAATTTACAAACCCTAACTTCTGTTTTTGTGGCCAAGAAAGATTGCAAATCTAACACTTAAGGAGGGGGGGTCCAAACTAAGACGAGAGCCTCGTGAAAAAATGAATAATTTAAAAAATGCTTATTTAAAGATGTATATGTTATAAAAAAATGTATTAAACGAAAGATATATTGATCGTTTACGAAGATATTTAGATATGCTGTCGATAATGAAAATATTTTTTCTTAACTAATAATTTCAAGCGATATAAACGACTATTTTTAGAAAAATATTTTTCAAATCATTCATTTTCTTTAAAGCAAATGAACATGGATGCATGATCAATCTCACTGACCAATACGAAGTTCAGAATGATGATAATAATAATCTCCCGAAGGAATAAGAGAAATGTGTCGTGACTAAATTTTTTTTTTTCAAAACACACGAAGATGATGACCGCATTAAATACAATCTGTCGTTCGATTTAAGGAAAATTCGTTCGGGAGCAAAAATCATATTTGTAATAGTAACTCGACTCTATGAGTAATTTTACATTCACTTTTCCGGGAGCTTTTTTACTCGGGATTTGATCTGGGGTCTCCTCCCTATCCCTTCCCTTCCTTTCCCTTTGTGTTGGCCGGCCGATTGCCCTGGTGGGGTTGGTTTAGCAAAAGGGAATCGGTCGCAACTTATCGAGAGCGTAATTCGGTGACGACGCGAACCTATGAGAAAGAACGTGTCCGAAACTAAGGCAAGAAAAGTCCGTACGAATCATACGTAATGGCTATGCCGGTACGTACGAGTTCACGAGCAAGTTCACGCCGGAGTAACTTCACTTCATTCTCCGAAACGGGTTTATCGGGACCGGAATTCGAACGGCGCGGCACATTGTGCATGGTTTGTTGCGCAATCGAAGGAGCGATGGATGATGACGACGGGGGGTCTTGGAGGAGGTGATCATCATCTCGACGATACTTTGACAATTTACAAACCCTAACTTCTGTTTTTGTGGCCAAGAAAGATTGCAAATCTAAGACTAAACCGGGGGGGGGTGGTCCAAACTTAAGCTGACAGCTTCGTCTTCAAGCCCCTCCCCTCCTTAACATCCAATCAATGTGGGAGACGATTTCGAACGCGCGCCGCCCCCCCCCCCCTCCCCTCCCCTCCCGTATCATCCAATGCATCGTCCAAAACCCCATCGTCAACAATGGCCAAACGAGTGCACCGTTTTCAATACCCACCTCGCTCCAAACCTTTCGCAATCCCCCCATTCAATTCCCGTCCCTCTCTCTCTCTCTCTCTCTCTCTCCCCAATCTATAAACCATTTTCCAACCCCCTCCTTGTTCTTTCACATTTCGCATTCGCATTCGCACCCGCCTTGCCCCCGGCTGAGGACCGTTACCGGACCGGATCGATCATGGCATCGAATACTTCGAACCGAGACTTACCCATGAAATGTACATTGCTTTCTCCACACCGCAAGAAATCAATCGGGCACCAGGATCGGAACACGGTTTTTCTTTATCAACCTTTCTTTATCAGTCGTATGCCCCGCAAAGTATGAACCTTATCGGTGTCGTTCGTTTTATTTTTCAAAAACCGAAAAAAGAAGGAGGAGATAAGAGAGAGATTTTGCGGGGATCGAGCAGGAATCCCGTTGGTCACTGTCCGTGATCCTGCAGATGGACAGCCCCCAGCCATCTTCGGCAGGGCCACGTGGCGGCAGGTGAGAGGCGGATGGGGCCAAGCAAGGAGACAAGCGTAGGTGTCTACGCAATAAATGAGGGGCAGCTCTTTTCCCCCCAACAGCCTCTGCCCCCCTCCCCGTTTAATGCACTGCCACCGCCCCCCTCTACCCTACTACTCGGAACGCCCACCTTCCCCCACCCCCATCCCCCCACTGGCTCCCGGCGGCGCGTCGCCTCCCACGCGCCTCCACATCCATTGCATAATCGTTACACATGCACACAGCAACATCGTCGAAGCCTCCGCCGTGGTTGATGGTCCTGTCCTTTCATGAAGACTTTCCATTAGTGCGACGGCCTATGTAACTACAACCTACCCATAACTATAAAAGCTAAATATGAAATCTAAATCGTGTACAAAAAGAAAACCCCATAGTTTTTCCTCGTATCCGTGGTCCGAGGTCGTCGAATGCAATCGTGGGGCGATGAGTTTTTCAATTCAATGTAAAGATCAGATCGATTCTATGCGGATCGAACCCTAATATTTGCATAAATATCATACCTAAAATCTTAGAATAAAATAATTTTCACGATATCATAATAGACGAGACATACATTGATCCATGATGATTTCTTTGAAGAAATCATCATGGATCAATGAGAAATCTTTTAAAGAAAAAAATCTCTCGACTCTTTTAATCTTTCTGACATGCTTGATGGAAAGAAGAAAACTACCGTTCTTTTCTAGGATAGAGAGATGGACCATTTTCTAATTAGGGCCTTTTATAATCACACTATCCATCAAAGCGTACGTAATTAGAATACCTCTCTAATAAAAATAGAAATTTAGCACCTAATAATTATTAAACCTAAAACATAAATGGGCCATTAATCACGTGGGCCACAATAAAATCCAACATGTAAATGCAAAGTCGTCGCCGGAGATGAGCCGGAGAAAGCTGAACACGACCAACCAAGAAGTTACAATGTTTTCAAGTTGAAGTAGCTTTTGGCTTAACACTTCAAATAAAATGATTTCGATTAGAACAAAACAGTTGATAAACACCTTGTTTCATAACTATCTCCTGTTCTTTCTTCCCTTCTCTTGTTGAGCCAACTCGGGATGAACCTGAGTCAATACCCGAACCACCACCCTTGCCCGGCACTAAGAATGCTCCGGCTTCCCGAAGCTCTCGGACAACACCGCGCCGCGCCGTTCCCTTACCGCCGTGCAAGGAGTCTCGACGCGCGGTTCGTTCTTGACTCGACACCCCTCCTTAGAGAAAAAACCCTGCTCTTTCTTTTTTCGAGTCCTTCGCTCGTTTCACACAAACCCAAAATGCTCGCAACCTCGTAACTACACCCTCATGCACAGACCTAGAACAAAGAAAGACAAAATGACTGAAAGATTGCCGGGCGATTCGTTCCGTCGTCCGCCGATCAGCTCTCGCACTGGAGGGCGGCCTTGATCTTCTGGATCGTGCACGAGATCAGATTGTTGACCGTCTCGACCGACTCCACCGTGAGCTTCGCGGTAGGCAGGCTGTTCACCAGGATCTGGAACGCCACCGTCAGGAGCGACCCGCCCACCCTCTGCGGCCCCCCATCGCCCGCGTGCCCGTTCGGGTTCCCCACTGCGCCCCCGCCGTGGCCATGGGAGCCCGGCCCGTCGGGGACGATGGCGAACCCCGAGGGCAGGAGCGCCACGTAGGCGGAGTCCCCGCCGTTCATCACGACGTGCATGGCGGGGATGTCGACGGGGGCGTACACCACGAGCGACCCGGCCGCGTCGATGCACGTCTCCTGCAGTATCAGCATGCTGCTCTGGTTCGCGTTCATGGCCTGCACGTAGTAAAGAAGAGCGCGCGAAACGCGACAAGTCGTCAAATTTTTTTACACCACACGTTAGACGTGTCAGAATCCATGCAGCAGAGCGACGCAAGAGTCAAACCCTGCCAGCAAAAAATCGAATTTTCCTCTCATTTTTTTCTCTCCTCGTCTTCTCCTTCCCTTCCCTTCCCTTCACTTCCAAATCCCAATCAGAGAGGAAAAAGGGCCCGGACGGTCAGGCTCAGAACAAAGGCGTAAAAAGGTGACGATCGTCCTTCTATTTTTGACTTTTTAGAAATTCTGAGGGGGAAAGGGGGAAAAGGAAGGGACATGAACTGTCCCCTTTTTAATCAGCTTCCCGAAGAGAGAGAAAAAGCGACCTCGTGGGATACTTCCAAATCACACACAGAGCTCGTCCTCTCTCTTTTATAGATAGATCTTTCGCCTTTTTTCAAATCTTTTCCACCCCTATATCCCATGCCAGGACAAAGGAGGACCCCCAAAAAATACGACCCGACGTCATGGCGTCAACTTTGAAACGTTTTGTCATCGTCTAAATTTCAAAAGCCCTCAAGTCTTTCGCAATGATTTCCCTCGAAACGGGCATGAAATCTCGCGGCAAATCAAAATAGTATTTATGATAAGAGATTTAGAGACGAGAGAGAGAGAGAGAGAGTAGGGCTTTTACACTGGCGCGTAGGAGGGAGACGCAGTTGCCGTGGTCTTGGCCCTTGGCGATGTGGGCCATCTCCTGCATGGGGCCGCCGTTGGAGAGGATGTCCCACTCGCTCCGGAGCTGCTCGTCGCGGAGGAAGTCGAAGAGCCGCTGCGGCGATACGGGGAGCCAGACCGAGGTGGCCGCGCTCAGCACGATGCCCGGCGGCTCCCCCGGGTCGTCCACGCTCTTCCGCGTCATCACCCGCACGTCCTCGTCCACGTTCCCGCCGCTCAGCTTGTTCCACTTGTGGACCGTGGACGCGCACACCCCCGCGCAGAAGTTGGCCGTCATCCGCTGCGCCAGCTTCAGCATGCTGCGCCTCCCGCTCGCCGTTATCGCTGCCGCGTCAAAAGAAAAGGAGGGAAATCAGTGAAGTCTTCACGATATTAGACTAAAACCCATCAACAGAAAGATTTTAGTCCGTCCGGGACACAAATTTTCTTGAATTTAACTAAACCAACACATTGTAGGTGAAGTTAAGACTATTTACAATCAAGTGATCGCAGTGCAAATGACCAACCCAGCCGATTATAACGAAGATAGGTATTATATGATAAAATCGCATCGTACTTAAAACGTATAGGTATGTTTGAAGTATAAATACCGGTGTGATCGCGGGATGGGACGGTGGAGGACATGAGAATGGCGAGGCACTGGCACTGTCGCTGGAGGGTGGTGACCCACCGTTGAGCGCCGAAGCCCATGCCCGAGCTGATCAACGGCCGGTACAGCTGGTGCGTCTGGTTCTCGTCGTACTCCGCATGCTCCACCCAAGTCACCTGCAGTGTTTCATCTCCCCATTATCTCCATAAATCGGTTACTGCATTGTAATCCCTTCTCTACGCGAGAACGACGGAATTCATTAACCAAAAAAAGAACACCGCAACTGAGCCGACACGAGAATCACCGACCCGGAATCAGGAGAAAATGAACGCATTCAATGTATAGCTTGTCACGAGAAAGATGCATATGCTCATGGAAACACAACAGTAACAATTTCACGAGGGGCTAGGATTGTAATTACAGGCACCGGCCACGTCACACGGGTTTTCCGCAAGAAATCAGGTTTTGTCCAAACACGTGATGTCTAAGTCCCATGAATTTTAGTGCATTTTCAACACTTTGTTGGTTTCTAACCCTCTCTGCAAAAAACCAAGTCACACGCATAAAGATACGAGGCGAATCTTGGAAATAGCTCAAGGGTGGGCTCAATGACAGTATAAAGTATTCAGCAAGAAGCTTCTTCTTCTTCCTCCTCTCCTCCTCCTTCCTGGTGCTAACTCCAGGGGGGCATAAAATAATGGCGGAACACGGATCGAGTCCCGCTAGATTTTGAGGAACAGAGCGCGCGACTCGTAGAAGGCGCGCGACATCGAGATACACGCTCCGATTGTCTTAAAGTCCAAACTCCGAGCCTAAGATGCTCATGTAACAACAAAAGAACCGAGTCCTCGGGAGTTTGACTCCCATGAGGGCTGTAACCAGGTCACACATGGTCCTTAGGGCTCATAAAATATAATGCAAGTCAAAAACCGAATATAGGAATAAAATAAGAGAGGGGGGGGGGGGGGGGGGTGATGAGGGAGGGGATGGGATATTCGAGACAGCATCAAAGATCGGAATAGAAACATCAAACGCATTCTTTATTCAATCTGACCATCACCCAAAGAGACTCGCAGATTACAAGGCATCTACTTTCCAAAGGGGATACATGAAATTAATGTGTTCAGAGATGGGGCAAGATAGAGGCTTCCAATTCATATAATAATGGAGACTAGGGTTGGAGGGTAGGGGGAGGCAATCTTGATTTCTTGATGCACGGTGTGTGGAGGGGTCGCAATTTAAGCGAATAAAATAATGGTTTCTTGATATTCAAGAGCAAGAAATCCCAGTCGTCGAAATTTTGGGGTCTAATCCAAGAAGATTTAAATTTAAATAAAGCGCCTGACACATGGAGGAGCATCCGGTCCGGGTGGTCAAATAAAGAATGGAGTCTCTAGGAAGGTTCAGATTCTTTGGAAGGATGACTTAAAAAGTATCCTGATTTCTTTCAATGTCTCAGGACTGTTTCTTGGGGGGGGGGGGGGGGACCAAAACTCCATCTTTGACACTGAACACAGTGTGTCAACACACAGAGACACACTGGAGAGTAATCCCTGGACTGATGCAACGAGAAGGGCTAAAGAGAAAAAGAAGACCGCCCCAATGGCGATGATGGAGACCTTGTGGCGTGCACGAATTTAATGTCCCTCAACCAATTCAGGCTCTCCGCACTTATGCCCTAGTTTTTGCTTCAACAAACGACATTTAAAAGGGATCCAACTGGAAGGAAAGGAACCCCACTTTGGAAAAACAGGCCACGCCCCAGAATTTAATGGAGACCAACAACAGACCCGAGCTGTGCCAAGACCGGCGCACGTGAAGAGAGACTTCACAAAAAGAGGGGATTTGTGCGGAAATGAAGGGGTTGGTTTTGTTTTAGAGGGGAGTTTAGTTTCTTTTACCTTGGAGTACCCGTTGGGCATGTCTTGAACCACGCAGCCGGAAGGGAGCCTCCGGCAGCTCGGGAACGAGGGCGCGCCGCCGGGGGTTTCTCGGATGGCGTCGACCGACACGTCGACCACCGCCCACACGCCCTCGGCGTGCTGCTTGCAGAACCGGAGGAAGGTCACCTCCCGGACCGGAACCAGCGGCGACAGCACTTGTAGCTCCGCGTGCATCTAAAACCCACGAACGAAAATCAAACGAAATTTTAGTGCACTAAAAATCAAGAAAATAAAGTTTTAGCGCAACACAGAGAGCTGTTGGTCTGAGAAATTGAATAAACCAAGACAAAAGTGTTGAGCTGCGAACAGACAAATGAGCGTAGCAATTAAACCATACGTAACTCACCAGCTGAAGTGCACCATTTCTGGTTCCTCCCATTCCGCTGCAGATCACATCTGCGGTCGATGTTCTAGCTATCATACACGGAAACATCTCAGCCCACCGGTTCTGCGAAAAAGACCGTAACTTTTATCGAACCGAACAATGATCATCTAATGGTTCCGGTAACGTTATTCAATTACATTGTTAGCGTAATGAATATGACAAAAATTTCACGAGAAGAAAGATAGGAGAGAAGAAACTCAAACTCACAGAGTCCATGAGGGTCTCCACAAGTGCCAAGCTATTGATGATCACCATGCCAGTCTCTCTAGAGGCCTCGGTCACAAATCCATTCGGTTTCATGCCAATGCAAGGAGTGAAGGTCCTTATGTACTCGTCATGGTTCAGTATTTCCCTCCCACCTTCCAAGCTCCTGATCCATAGCGGCTCATCGGCCTGAGCCATCTTGACCAGCTCATCCATGGCGGCCAAGGCAAGCTCCAGCAACATCGATTTCTCGATCGACACCATGCCCCCAGCTCCCGGGGGCCTCTGTGGGTTCGCCAACACCATCGCGGAGTTGCCCGAGATCGCACCCCCGAAGTCAGGCCCCAGGGGAAGCGCCGTCGTGGCCAAGCTACCGATGAACCCGTTGTTAGTCCCGACCCCTAGCTCGAGGCTCGAGTTGGGCATGAGCGGGCCGATGGAAGCGGTGAGCGACGAGACGGGGCGGCCGAGGAACTTCCCAGCGAGCGCGCACACGCGGTCCAGCTCGTCCTTGAGGCGGGCATTCTCGATCCGGAGGTGCTGCTCCTCGAGGGAGATCTCGCCAATGACGGCCGGGCCGCCGCAGTTGGTGCAAATCGGGTCCCTCATGGTGTCCCGGAGAGACAAGTTCTCAGCCCGGAGCTTGTCGTTCTCTTGCCGGAGCAGCGAATTCTCATGTCGCTCCAGCTGTGTCTGGTTGGTGCAACAATCAAGAAAATCCCACCCCACAAGAAAAGATCAAAACTTTTTTCGAGTTGCTTTGAAAAGATCGAGTTTTGACAGAATCAATCATTGCTACCTTCATCTGGGTGCGCCGATTCTGGAACCAGAACTTGACTTGCCTGGTCTCCAAGCAAAGCCTCTTGCTCAGCTCCAACCTTTGCTTCTCATCAGGATGTGGACACTCCTTGAACAACCTAAAGCCAACCCGCAACAAAAATGAAAAAAAAAAAAAAGAAACCCCCAACAATTACGGAAAATGCCACTGAGATTGAGCGAAATCGTAACCAAAACACACGCAAAGGAAAAATCTTGCTACGAGGATCGGTTTTTCTCTTTCTTTTTTTGTTTTTGGCCATTTGGGTGTGTGAAGATGAGCGAAGAGATGGTATCCGTACCCTTCGAGTTCTTGGATTTGCTGGGGAGTATGTCGGTGGTAACGCTTCTTCCTGGGAGGGTTATCGGCGGAGGCGTCCTGGTCGTCGCCGGAGGCTCCGCCGCCGTCGAGGTTGTCGCTGCCGGATCTGCTCTCGTGCTCCTCCTCTCTGCTCCTCCGGAGGTGGTGATTGCTCGCGCTCATTTGCTCGTAGCTCTCCCCCATTTGCTGGTTCTCTATCCCGGTTTGCTGCTCACAAAAATCATCGAACCAAATCAAATCACACACAAAAAAAAAAGAACGTGGAAGATGAACAAGAGAGGGCCATGGTGAGTTTGTGGTGTCGTACGAGAGCGAGGGAGAGTCCAGGAGAGTTGTTGAACATGGACTTGGACAGAGAAGGGCTCAGGAGGCGCGGCTGCGCGATTGCGCCCGGCGGCGCCATCTCGTTCTTTCCCACGTACGGAATATCGGCGGCGGCGACCCTCGCCCCTCCTCCTCCTCCGCCGCCGCCGCCCGAGCCGGTGTCGAGGAATCCCCCGAAGCTCATCAAAAAGGTCGCAATTTTTGCTCCCTCTATATATCTCCCTTCCTTCCCCTGTAGCTGTACCGGATGCCTTCTCCGATCTTTCGAGTCACCGACCCTTCCGCTTCTCTCCCGGCGATTTCAATCCCAGCTAAAACCGAGCTCCACACTCGTCGCTGGCTTGCTCCACTTTCCCAGCTTCTCCAAAGAGGTTCGCGCGGACAAATGAACACACATAACCAGTACACACGCACACGTTCAAGAGAAGGCGAAGCTCGTTCTTCTCGTACACGAATCACCCAGGGAGGAAAAATGAGAGTGAAAAGGAAGGGGTGCTCGTGGTGGTGGTGGGGGGAGGTCTTAATAGAGAGGACGAGGAGACAAAAGGGGCAAATTTTCCGCAGGCCCAAGTGTCTCCAACTTCCTCTCTATCTACGACGAGGCGGCTGCTGCTACGAGGAAGAAAGAGGAGCCAACCTTTTTATCCCCCTCCTTCCCTCCTCCTCTTTCTAACTCTCGGCTACGCCCGCCCTTTGTTCTCAAACACTCTCCCTCCCTCTCCCTCTCCCTCTCCCTGTCTCTGTCTCTCGCTAACAATCTACTGCGGCCGCGCTTAGGTCTGCAGAACGGCACGACGAGAGAAGGCGCTGTGAGGCAGCAGTGGGTAGCTGCACAAAAAAGTAAAAAGGAAAGAGAGAGAGAGGGAGAGGGAGAGAGGGGAACCCTAGAAGAAAGTTTTCTTTATCTCTATTTGTTTGTTTTCCTGTAGAGAAAGAGAGAGAGTGTGTGTGAGAGTCGCGCTGCGTGATAGCTCGTTCGCAGCATGCTTGACTCTAAGCGTAGAAAGATGGAGAGACTAGAGAGAGAGAGAGAGAGAGAGAGAGACGAGTTGTCAATGGGCATGGGCACAAGAGGGGAAAAAACCCGAAGGAAAACGAAAGGAGGGCCAACGCTCAAAGAGAGAGAGAGAGAGAGAGAGATACGCAGGCAGGCAGGCAGAGAGACAGAGAGAGGAGGTGAAGAAGATAGAACGGGTGGGGGGGAGATGTGGAGCCATCGAAGCCATACAAAATACAAAGCCCCAAAAGGGGGCTGGTTGACTCTCCCTCCCTCGGAAAGCCTGTGACAGTCAGTTCCAAAATGCTTCACCTTTTCCTCCCTCCCCCCCCCCCCCCCCTCTCTCTCTCTCTCTCTATCTCTACACTCTCTCTCTCTCTCTCTCTTCCCACCCCTTTTCTTTTTCCTTTTTTCTACTCCACGATATTATAATTAAATTTAATACCGTAAAAAATCTCAAAATCTTTCAAATCAATATACATGTACCAATTTTACCTTTTATTAATTTTCGATTAATTTTTAAGTTGAATAACACATTTTTTAATCGACGGATTTATTAATTTGAAATTTTACCCTTTATCTGTTACGAGCATATCATTTAATAATTTTTTATATTGTGCCCCACCCACCTCTTACAGGGCGTGGGCGTCGAAACCCACATCTTAAATTACGCGACCCCAACTCTACCCCCTGCGAAGGTAGGAATTCGAACTCCCCACCTCCCCCTTCTCAAGTGAGAAGGGTGACCACTGGGATAAACTCCCAGTGATTTTTAATTTAACGAATGATAAATTCATTATAAATATATTAATTTTGGGTAGCGTACGGGATTTCTCCGCGGTTTTATTTCTTGAAAGAAAGAAACGAAAGAAGTTGGGAAAAGCCTTTTCAGTTCCCCTGCCAGTGCAACGAGGAAGGAAGTTACAGTGTCGGGTGTCGGCCCACGGTGTAAAAAGGTGACCGCTTCGTGGGGACTTTGGGAGCAAGTTAGTCAAAGGAGATGTCCGCTTTCTCCCTCCTCTACCCCTCCCTCCACCCACCTTATCCTATTTTGGGGGACATGGTAAAAGTCAAAAATTATTCAGACACCCCCAAAAAAGCTTTTGGGGCTAAAGCCTTTAGGGTTTGGCTCCTGGACCTGCCACATCGTGTGCGTGACCCCCCAAGTTGTGCCGAAAGATTTTAGGGGTGGGAGTTTGGCACAAAACCATCCTCCCCCGGTGGGTTTCGAGTTGCAAAGTAAAATCCCGGGTCAAAATTAATATAAAGAAGGAGAAAGGAAAATGTTACCGGCGAGCGTGCCGCTGCTGAAACGCCGCCGCCGTTCGGTAGCTGGTTTTTTCAGGAGGCCGCTTGATCCGGCTCGCTTTCGAGGCGGTCGCTACGGTTGCGAACCGTATGTTTTCTCGGGAGACGCGCGCGCTTGCCGTGGGCTTCTTGGGGAGCTCCTCGCGGCTGTAACGTGTACCGAAGAAAAGGGTCTATGCTCTGTTGTTATCAAGCACTTATAGATCCATACGAGGCACTATTCATACATCTTCATAAATCCAGGCGGAGTTGTTTTTTTTTTTTTTTTTTCCTGAAATATGCGTACCGCCGGATGCCCAAATTACTGGATTTTACGGCACAAATTTACATGCAGCAGAGTCATGACGCGGTCAGCCGGTCATCACTATGCCGGACAGACACGGCAACATATCGTGACGCGATTGAGCACGCGTAATTATGATACAAGCAGAGACTGTGTCAAACGAACACTTTTTGAGCTTGAGGGAGACGCGTGTGCGTAAATAATCGAGCCTTCCTTAGGTCTATCGATTGATGGGATTCGGCTTCGTCGCTGCATCATCCTCCTTCGAAGCGGATTTTTCGTCAGTCGACGCCGGTCGGGACGAATAATATAATTCTAAGAAATTGTACAATTGGAAAACGAAAGGAAGTGAAAGCCAAGTTGTGAGAACGCACTTGGTAGAGAGACTAGCTAGCGTCTGGATGATTTCAAAGTCATGCTTGGTATTAGACAAGTCTATAGGTGTTTGGCTTCTGCTTGGAGTTTTGTAAAATGAGGATTTTTCTTTTCTCCTTTTAATTAATATTCTATCAATTGTAATTTCTTTTGCAAAATGTTTGGTGGATTATTACTTGCAACTCGAATATTTGGAATTTTGAAACCAGAAGGGTGACGCAGGTCAATTTGCAAAATGGTTAACACAACGAAAAATTTCAACCTGATACACATGTGACAAATTTACCAAAAATTATTTTTTTGACCACAAAAAATTTCAAACTGGTACACCTATGACAATTTTACCCCGAACTATTTTTTTTACTACAAAAAACCCTAAACTGATACACCTGTGATAATTTTACCAAAAACTAATTTTTTTACCACAAAAAACCAAAAACTGGCACATCTATGACAAATTTATCCTTCCATTAATTTCCGTTAAATTTTACAATCAAATTGCTTAAGTTTGATGACACGTGGTAGCTAACGGATGTACCAGTTTAGGGTTTTACCCCTATGTTTGTCACAATTTTATCAATTTGTGATTTTTCATGATATTAATCTAATTTAACGGACACTAACGGAGGGTAAATTTGTTACAAATGTACTAGTTTGGGATTTTTAGGGGTCAAAAAATTAGTTTGGGGTAAAATTATCACATGTAAATCAGTTTAGGCTTTTTGTGGTCAAAAAAATAGTTCAGGATAAATTTATCACAAGTGTATCAGTTTGGGGTTTTTGGTAATCAAAATATTAGTTCGAGATAAAATTGTCGCAAGTGTATCAGTTTGGGGTTTTTTGTGTTATTAACCCTTTACAAAAAGAGGAAATCGAAGGCAGACAACCCTAAAAATTGCCATTCCTGATTTTGAACAAATAAAAAGGAAATTTTGAAAATTTAGGAACAATTTAGTCTCTTATTTCAATGTCCTTGTTATATACCGGAACAAATGAAAAACGAATTGTCAAATAGATGGTAATAATTTTTCGGTTCTAAACATTATCGCTTTTCGGAATTTTTTTATGGAAAAGGTAAAAGTCACTACAAACAGAATATAAGATGGAACAAACAATAGCATACACATTTTTTTTTTGTTCTAATGTAATGGAAAAGATAAAAAGATTATGGTAATTCCCCTCTAAACTTTAAGTTCAATTCCAATTCTACCTCGAGGTTTTTCTTTTGTGTAAAAAAACTCACAACCTCTTACTATAGTCTTAAATCTGCCCCTATGTCAAAAAATCGCCACTAAATTCTTTAAAAATTACCAACATTAGGGCTAGTAAGAGGTTCATTATGTGAACATGCATCTACATGAAATAACAGTAGCCTCCTTATGTTGATAATTTTGAAGTAACCAACAGCGATTTTTTGACGCGTGATAGGTATGGGACTAGAGTAACAGTTCGTGATTTTTTTTAAACAAAAAAAGTTCATAATGGAGTCGGGAATAAATCTAAAGTTGAGGGTTTTTTTAGGGAATCAAGCTCTTTTGTAAATGATTGACTGCACAATCTCTTCATTTCGAAGAAAGTTAATTTCAGGCTCATATGTGTAGGATGTGCCTTTTCACGATGTAATTTCGTCTTTATCATTTTTCATGTCATGTATGGGTCAAACTCGCCATAAATTTTTAATCCTAAAAACAATTTACTCATCGGGTTGTCTGAACACATACGATTGTAAGTTGGTTATCGATCTTTATTCTAAGAGGGAATTCTTTCATCGGCGTCATCAAATTCAAATCTCGAATGATCGGTCATTTCACGAACGTCTTGATATTGTCCACTGCCACACGATAAGAAGAAAACTCTAATAAAAACCCGATTCGCGGGTTATTTAGACGATCCAATTCCAAATAGGGAAAGGCAAAAGTGAGTCAAGGTGGATCTATTCCATACATAAAGCGCTAAAAAGATTAAAATTCTATATAATGTTGCCTAACAAATAAACATTATTCGAATCGATATCGAATAGGGTATGCATAGAAACTTAATAGTATGTTGTCCATCGACCCTAGCACAAACACAATGATTAAAATTTGCTAAGACGTTAGAAAGTTAGTTAGGTCTTACAGTCCGATAGTAATGAGATATGCTATCATCATCCAACATGCCCCAACATCTCCAATCCGAGCCGTAATTGGGGCCAATCGAACCGAACCGACGACATGAGTTAATGCCATCATCCTTGATTTGCTTGAAATGATTATTATATAAGCTTCATCATAAAACCCAAAGGTAGAATTTACTGCCAATGTCTTGAAATTACTGGTGCCGTCTCTCAACGATTTCACAGATGATTATGCAATAAATTTCACAATTCCCGAGAAAATAATTAAGCTAGAGTCGACTTTAGTGCGACTGGCAATTATTAATAACCGGTAAATATTCACTTGCCCATATAAATACCCTAGAAGCCCATAAATTTTTTTGTACATCGCCATTATTATTTGACAGAAAGTTTAGCGTACTCACGTTGCTACACTGTACTTGATTTTGGGGGAGGTGAGATTACACTTGGCATGAGGGGGACTACTAGGTTAAATGCCATACGCAATAGGGAAAATTTTCAGAAAGCCCTCGAAATAGGACATTTCGAAATATGACATATTTTTTAAGGAGTGACCCCATGATAGTTTATAATTTTTTTGTGGTCAAGAACGGATCGTTATTCTCACTATAAATTAAAGACCGTCGCTCAATTATTTCTCTTCGAAATACCTTCTTGAAGCCAAACATGTCTC